AGCTGCAGCAGGAGTGCATGAAGAGGCTCAACGTCCCGCTGGGACCGGCCACCCCCGCTGACGACAAGCCCCAAATTCCGCCCCGTGTCCCTATCCCACCCCGTCCCCTACGCCGCAACGAGCCTGGGCGCTGGTCAGGGGATCTTTCCCCGGCTTCAGGGGGTGAGGAAGACCGGCCGCCCCAGATTCCCCCCCGGGACCCGCTGTCGCAGCCCACCTCCCGGACACCCAGCCCCATGGCCCTGCAGGTGGGCTCCCCCCAGCAACGTGCTGCCCTCTGCTCCTGCCTCTCCACCTCGCCAGGGAAGCCCATGCCCACCACGCAGAGCTTTGCCCTAGACCCCAAGTACGCTACCCCCAAGGTCATCCAGGCGCAGGGCAAGGACTGCTCCAAGGGACCCTGCATCCTGCCCATCGTGAAGGATGGGCAGAAGGTCAGCAGCACCCACTATTACCTGCTGCCTGAGCGCCCTGCCTACCTGGACAAGTACGAGAAGTTTTTCAAGGAGGCCAAAAGCCCCGAGGAGGTGCCGGCATCCCGCCTGGTCACCACAGCCACCGTCCGTCCTATGGTGCAGCAGCCGCCGCTGGACTGCAAGGCCAACTTCTCCTCCAACAACAGCAATCCTGGGCCCAAGTGCCTGGTGAAAGCCTCCTGCAGCCTCCAGAAGATTGTCTATGATGGGCCGGATGGCTGCCGCCCCGCTGACAAGATCCGGCTGGTAAGCAGCATCCCCAGGGTATGCGAGAGGGGACACGGTGACCATGGGCTTGCTTGGGCGAGAGCCATCCCCGTGCTGTGCCTCGGTTTCCCCAAGTTCAGCCCCAGGGGGTTGGCTACAAGGGGTCCCTGGATGTGCTGTGGGATGTTGAGTGTCACTGCAACTCTAAAATGGGGATTGGAGGCTGTTTTAACCCGAATCAGCCCTACACGCAGCGCCAGGGAGGGGGGAGGAAGGTGGCTGTCACGGTGGTCCCCTTGGGCTCTCCGGGCTGGGTCCAGGAGTCTGCACCCGAACCCAGGAGAGGCTGAAGAAATCTGGGATGAGGATGGTCCCAGCAACAGTGCCCCCCCGGATCAGCGGCAGGGTGTAGGGCAGCCCCAGTGCCCCTGCTCCAGCCATGGGCTCCTCAGTGCCCGAGTGGTGGTGGGCGCTGACCACAAGCTTCACTCCCACC